AATAGTAGAAAATATAAGCTAAAAGAATGCCCTATAGAGAGAAATACCACTTAAAATAATTTTCTTTTTAAAAGTGGAATACTCCTTATAAAGCTAGACAAATACATTATCTTGTTTTATAGAAAAGTGTACTATGTTGTGCTGGACAAAAAAAATCCATTATTCTTAAAGCTTTCCCTGCCTGCTAACCTCAATCAATAAGGAGCCCTCCCCAAATAAAAATCAATATTTATTTTAATAAGAATGCAATGAATAATACTAATGATAACAGTATAAGATGATTCATTCAATATTGTTTCTAGCAAACAGAATTATTTCCCTTCTATAGGATGGCACATTACAAACTACAAGAATCAAAAGGTAGTAATTTTTTAAGTGTGTAAGAGCAACAACAGTAAGAAAAAAAAACCTATGATGATATATTACCTTTCAAGCCAGCCTCAAAATGTTATAATACCTTTATTGATTGTCTCTCTCTATTCCTGTCTCTCTCACACATTTACACACACACAAATACGCACCTGCTCTCTGTTACAAAGTCTGCTATGTCAACCACACCCAGAATGTCCCAAAAAGAAGTAATGGAATGCAATGACATCCCTTAGAAAAGTACTGCTTTCAAGAGGCTGGTCCCCCAAGGGAGCCTTTGGCTGCCCAATGGCATCTGGAGTACTGCCGCATCATGGACCAGGAATGATATCCAGTCCTATAAAGAAATAAGATGGTCCAAATTTGCACCCAAGGCCTCCAGCCATGATGGGGTGCAGGATAGTGGCATCAACTAGCCTGCTGAGGTGCACGCCCCTCTCAGCAGGCAATGGCTCTCGGGGGTCGACAGCTCAGAAAGCTGTGTCCAGCAGGGCCAGCCCACAGTGTTCAAGAGTCCTCCAAGATGCAGGGCTCCGTCCTGACCACAATAACAAAGTAAATGTCACAATTACATGTTTTGGCTTACCACCAATGTAAAAAAAAAAAAAAATCCACTACCCTGGAGTCCAACTGAAAGCAAATCTCTGTTGGGTTTTCAAGGTTGTAAACAGGAGGAAAACACTCATGTCTCTTCCACAGAGTGGCTGGTGGGCTTGAACCACTGCCCTTTTGGTTAGCAGGCCAACACGTACCACCACCAGGGCTTCCCAGTGACTCACACTCCACAGCCATCTCATATGTGTGCGACAGCATTATGGGGAAGTTTCACATATTGCTGAGAACGACCAGAATGTGACACAGAGCCGGGATATAGGCACATGCTTCTGGAAAAATGGTGTTGAGAGACGTGCTGGACGCAGGAGGCCAGCAACTGTCAATGTGGGCAAAATGCAGTGTCCACAAAGTGGAAGAAACCAGGCAGGGCCTGGATCGCTCTATACGTGAATCTGCAACCATGTATTCAGAAACTGCCTTTCTCATCAGTGGTCCCTTTAACCTTGGTGCTCACTTACGGGGCCACATACCTCAAGGATGACACTCCCATTCCGAGGTTTTACCAGGCAACACATCTAATCTAGTTCCAAAGAGGTTTTGCCAGCATCAACAAATACATATAAGCTCGGCATGGAGATACAGTATTATCTACTTTACAATGGACCTCCTGCAGTCAACTACAGAGGAAAATGTGAGAGGGTAACCAGACTACTCCTTGGAGGTGGGGATTTTGAAGCTCTATATGACATAGTCTGGCCATGCTGTCAGAAGGGTCCAGTCCTTGGAGAGGGACATCATGCTTGCAAGGGTAGAAGGTCACCTCAAAAGACAAAGACCCTGGTTCAGATAGACTGACACAGTAACTGTGGCAGTGGGGTCAGGTGTGTCAGAGACGTTGACGCTGGCTCAGAATAGGGCAAGGTTCAGAGCCATTGTTTATAGGGTCACTATGTATCATCCTAGATGACTCAATAGCACAGAACAACATATACAGAGAGAGAGAAAGCAGGTATGTACAGCTGAGTGAGCGAGTACTCTGGTGGCCCAGTGGTAAGAAGATGCACTGTCAATCCTAAGGCAGGTGGTTTGAATCTACCGGTTTTGCTCAATGAAAGACTGATGAGCAGTCTCCTCCTGTGTGACTTACAGCCTCTGAAAAGCTGCTTGTGAGTCAGTTCTTACCCGATGGCACATGACACTGAAAGAGAATGAGAGGAAAGAGAGCAAATAAGAGAGACGACATGAGAGGGCATGAGCTCTGACGGGGGAGCGGGTAGACAGATGCACTGTCAACCCAACTGGCAACCTCTCTGTTGGTTCAAATTCACCAGCAGCTCCCCAGGAGAAAGGCAATCTCCTGTGTGATTTACGACCTCTGAAACCCAGTGGAGGGTCATCTCTGACTTGGTTACGACTGTCAGGAGTGGGTGAGTCAATTCATGTATGCATGTGTATCTCTCTCAAAAGAAAAACTGTACCACTGGACCCACAGGCGATGTCATGATAGACAGAGAAAAGACTGAACTTGTCAACAATTTCATCATACTTGGATTCACAATCAACATCCTTGGTACCAGCAGTCAAGAAATCAAAACGCACAGCCCAATGGCAGTGAAGCTGCTAAAGAGCAACAATATCAATTTAAAGACTCAAGTGCACCTGATTCAAGTCATGTTTCATCCAATCACTCCCTGTGCGTGTGAAAGTTGGACAATGCATATCAGTGACAGAAAAAGAATTGATGCATCTGAGCTGTAGTGCTGCAGGAGGGTACTGAGAACCTCATGGACTGCAAAAAGAATAAACACATGTGTCCTGGAGAATGTCTTTTAAGGACCACTGTGCTCCTGAGAGACAAGGGTGGTCACACTGCATCCCACACACTCTGGGCACACTGTCAGGAAGGACCAGTCCTGGGAAAAAGACTTCTCATGCTGGGAAAAGTGGAGGGTCAGAGGAAGAGGGGAAGATCCTTAACAAGATGGCTGGACAAAGTGACTACAATAAGAGATTGAGGATCTGAGGGATGACGAGGATGGCACAGGATAGGGCAAGGTTCAGAATCAGTGTTCATCAGTTCACTGCATCAGAGTCAACTTGATGGCATCTAATGACAACATGTCAGTCACACAGAAAAACTGAGACACATCTCACCATATTGGAGCTGCCTCATAGCTGGTAGATTCCAGACACCAGCGAAGCCTGGCTTTTGGGTTAGCAACTCAACTACCTATGGACGAGGTTACCAGAGCTCCCAAATACACGTGCGTGCACACACATACATACACACACATTATTTCAACTAGAATTTTTGTTTCTAGAAATTCCATACAAATGTTTTATATTTCTGGAGTGAAGAATTAACTTTCCCCAAAGAATATAAAGGATCACTGTGCCAAGTTCCTGCCAGATTAACCTTTAAAACTTGGAGTTTCTCTAGTGAGTGGAGAGGACTTTGTTACTCCTGATGGGTCCCTTCCACGACTCCTGGTGGCTATGCGAATGAGCTGACTTTAAGTTCTAAGGAGCAGGTGAGGAGAGGGTGGGGTCCACACTGTGGGTACCGTCATAGGGCAGGAACTCCACAGGTCATGCCCATTGCATGGGACCCTGAACAAGGCTCTGTGCTGAGAGGGTGACACACTTGGGTCCCCACTTCTGGGGCTGCTCTGATGTGCATCCTTTCTCTGCAGGAGGACTACATGTAAGTGGGGCCCTCAGTGAGGGTTGTGCCTCACTCTAAAAACTGATCAAACCAGAAGGCACAGTGGCATCTGTGGGGCCTGAGGACAACATTCAAGCTTTTCTGAATTGAGGGTAGCCTTGTGGAGGGCTGTGTCCTCATCCTGTCAAATTGAGTCCAACTGCAGGGAGCTGGAGTCAGAACACACCAACATTGTTCATATCTATTACCACCTAGTCCCTCCCAAGGTGTTATCGATCCATGAGGACAGCCGAACTTCCCCACAAAGCCTCCCAGGATGTAATCTTTATAGGACCAAGCTGTTAACATCTTTGTCCTGCAGAGTGGCTGGTGAGTTTGAACTGTTGACCTTGCAGTTAGCAACTAAGCTCTTCAACCTCTGTGCCAATGGAGTTCCTAGTCTCTATACCCAGACAGAAAACCCTCACCACCATCGAGTCCATGCCAACTCATGGAGGCCCTGCAGGGCAGAGCAGCAGCACAGGGCCTCTAAAGCTGCCATGTTTATGCACTGACCGTGACAATGGGCTTGACTCCGGCAGGGATCGTGAGGATGGTGCAGGGCTGGGCACACAAGGTCACGGCAGAAGTCATCCTCAATTCAGCGGCACCCACAACAATCTCTACGGGAGCAGACGGTCTCATCATTCTCCCTCAGAGCAGCTTAACCTCTGTAAGCAGCCCAGCACTTCAGCTCCCTGATAACATCTGCTCTTGAAAGTTACCTGGCTACCGTTTAAAAGAGAGATGTAACTGGGTATTTCTGTCATCACAGGAGACTAGAGCGAGGGCTGCATGGTGGAGGGGACCTGGGGGAGGGTTTGTAAAACAATGAAAGAATCTTTTCTTTTACTTTTCCATAATTTTTGGACTCATGTACTTATAACTTGTTAGTCAAATTTGTGTCTTCTAGGTTGCAACACCCCCATGATACATCTTCAAGGATATGTACATGTACAGCCAAGCACAATCAATAAGAGTGCATCTGAATTCCAAAATCAATCTCCATAATAGTCTATGTGTTTCCTACTGCCAAAGGGGCCCTTTAGAGTAGTGAGAGAAGATCTTCACCCTGAAACCCACAGCGCCCCTTTTCAGCAGGAAGTAGCTAAGAGAATACGCCGTGCCCTTTTCCTTATGACTCAGGGTGAAGTCTCTCTCAGGGAGGAGTGATAGGGAATGGCAAAGGATACACTGACAAAGAAGATTAATCAGAACTGGCTTTGACAAGCACTGTGGCATTTGGACAAGAACAAACTGGGAGGAGGGTAGAGAGAATAGTGCAACAATGAATGAGTGGAAGCCCAAAATCTCTGTAAATGTTTATGAAAATTAATAAAATATTAGAAAAAAAAAAAAAAAAGAAAGTTACCTGGCTTCTTCTAGAACTTTCTCCATCACAGCGTTTTTTCCCTCCTGGTGAACATCTTCATTCACGTCGGTTCCGCCAAAAATTACTCCGAAAGGAATTCGGTGGCCTGCAAAGAGCAGGTAGGGAAGAAATAGGTGTTTGCTTTGAAAAAAGCCCTCAGTGGCCAGTCCCTGGGCAGGGCTATGGACACAAGGCACACCCAGAGAGTAGACTGTTTGGGGTTCCCCTCCCTCTCCTGACCAAATGCAACTCTCCTGAAGATTAGTTAAGGGCAGAAACACTCTCAGATGGTCACCAGGGAGGGCAGGGAAGCAGAGGGGAGCAATCCTGTGAGTTAGAGAAGAAATGCCCCTGAGGGGTTCCACAGCTGCCATCTGTACAGAAAAAACTGCCTCCTCTTTCTCCTGTGGACTGAATGCTGGTGGATTCACACAACCAGCCATCTGTGTTAGCAGATCCACGCTTAACCACAGAGCCACCAGGCTCTTTATAACAGAAACACCACAGAAAATAAATTCCTGGAAGAATAAATACACCAGGAAATCCTAAGAACACAGGCTCCGGGAGACAGCCGGCTATGAGGCAGGAGGACAGACGCTGCGTCCTATAAGGTTGAGCTGTGTTTCTCTTAATGTGGTTGGAATCTATCAGGTGTGTGCTCAATTTTTCTAAAGTGTGCACAATAAAATGTACGTAATAAATGCTCTACAGACAGAAAATGTCCTTCCCTCAGCCCCCCTTCCACTGGGATGGAGGCAGTGGAAGCGGGAGTGTGAATGAAGTGGGTCTCCATGTGAAGAGCTATTTTCATGGGCCTGACACACTCAGCTGCCTGAAGCGTGACCTCGGTGAGATGACGATGTAGGTAATTTGGGTCCTCAAATGACGCACTTTCTCCTCAAGTGTTCCTGTGAGAATGACAGCGTCACTGAATTCACATCTGAAAGCCTCTCAATACTCAGGTGCAGCAGGAACACCTGTCCCGCTCACCTCTGTGCTGGCCATTTCTGAGGATGGGCCTTGGAAGTACGATGCCTAAACCTGTCAATGATGCCAAGAGACAGCCTGTTTTCTCGATGTCCCACCAAAGCTACTCCCACCCACAGCAACCCACTAAAACAGAGGACAGCTGCCCCAGGGAGTGACCAAGCCAGTCACTGTTACAGAAACAGAATGCCTCATCTCTGTCCTGGGAGGAGGTTGGAGGGATCAAATTGCACACCTTTCAGATACTGGTTAAGCAATTTAACCACTGTGGAACCTGGTTCCTTAAACCACTACCAGCAAGAATTGGCTGCACTGAGGAGGACAGAGCAGAACTGCCCCGAAGGTTCTGGAAGCCGACTGCTTCATCTTGCTCCCGTGGAACAGCAGATAGGTTCAAATGTACTTTCTGGACATGTGATCAGGACGGGTCAATCCCGAGAAAGGGACGTCATGATTGGAAAAGTGAGGATCAGTAAGAAAGAGGAAGACCCTCAACAAGATGGACCGATGTGGTGGCTGCTCCAGGGGCTCGAACACAGCAACAGCTGTGAGGAGGGGGCAGGATCGGGCAGGGTGCTGCTCTGTTGTATCTGACGCTCTTCTCCAGGGAGTGACCAGGGAGATGGTCCGACACAGTGGCTGCCATTTAAGCACCAGCAATAGCTGAGAGGCTGGCACGGACCACGCAGTGTGTCCTCTGACTCTGGGGTCGCTGAGTCAGAGGCGACTCAACGATGCTCAAAAACAGCAACAGGCACGTCTGGTGCTACGCACAGCATCTCTGGTTTCCATCTAAAGGGTTTCACCTTGCAAGAGCCGGCCTGCTCTGTAGAGGTGAAGAGCCAGGGCCGCCTCCACCTTCTCAGCTGTGATGAGGTCTGTGATTTCAGTGGAGCTTTCAAAGTCCAGGGTGTCCTTCAGAATGCACACATGGCCAGCAGCTTCCAGATGGTCCCTGCATCCAAACATGAAAGGAAAGAAGGAAAATAAGCATTAGTGTGCTTCAGGTTGTTGCTATGACTAAGATTTTCAACAGAGAGGATACATTCTGCTGAAGGGAAATCAATATTCACTAAGAGGATGATTAACTGCATGATATCACCAAGGCAAAAGAAGACAGAGAGAGGAAAAATGGAAATGAGAATAAGAGGGAGGGAGTGGGGAAAATGCAGCCACAATGAGGGTACTAAAGTTAAAAGAAAAATGTGCATGAATGGGTGAGTGAAAAGTTTGTCTTTACTCACAATCACATTTTATACACACACACACACTCACTACTAGGCAAATAGTAAAAAAACAGAATGTACTCTCTCCTCATTGATCCTCATTTATTTATTGACATGGTTAAGTTTCAAAGATTTGGTAATTATGCAAAAACTGGTGAGATCACAAGGTGGAGGATACCTACGTCACTGCACAACTGCCAAATTTACAATCTGTAACTGCTGTTTTACATCAGCACATAATTGCTGAACCTCCCAGACAGAGTCAGGGCCCCGCCAAGCTGACACAGGCCCTCAGCCATCACAGCCAGGTTACTCTCCTTCACACCTCAGGACCTGTTACTACGAGATGCCCTGTCTTTAACACGCAAAACAGAGTAGATATTTACACTGTAAATGCAAAGTCAGGTAAGAGATTGTTGCTAAAGGAGGAGAAGATATCCCACTGCTGATACTGCTTTGCATTACGGAATTATCTATTAAAATAAAATCAGCTCTATTAAACCACGACCCACTTAAGTAGTCTCTGGAGAAGGAAATCATGCTTGGTAGAGTCAATGAAAAAGAGGAAGGGGACCTTCAAAAAGATGGACATACAGTGACTGCGACACGGACTCAAGCACAGCCGAGGTTGTAAGAATGGTGCAGGCACAGGAAAGCTTTCATTCTGCTGTGCACAGGGTCACTCTGAGTCAGAGCCGACTCAAAGACACTAGTTCTGGATACGTAAGATGATGGTCCAAGGTCGCAGGATGAAGGGCTAAGCTGGGATGATGTGCCAGTCTTCAGACAGATTGGCACTTTTTTCCTGTACCAGAAAGTTCACCTATTTTTCTTAATTCTGCTTCTTCCTCCTGCCCCTTTATTCTAGTTTGTTCTTTATTCAAGTTTGTTTTCACCCCTCTTTTAATCAGTTTTTAATAAAGCTTTCAAGATCTCCTACTCTCACAGCTTTAAAACACACTTCTAGGCTGTTAATGTCTCCCTCCAAAGTATAGCTCACACATGTCTCCCCTCCTCTCCACCATCCTAACTCATCTCCTAGGAACATAGACTTAAAATATGATCCTGAAAAACAAACAAACCTTTCTGAATGAACAGCAATGTGCAGAATCAAAATACAAACGGGAAAGAAAAGAGCTGTCTGCAATGTTTACCAAAGGAGAGGGGGTAATTTTCTTAATATAGAAAAGGCTCTTATGTTAAAAAGTAAATAATATTTAAAAGCCCAGTGGAACAATAAAAATAGGCTTAAAATCACCATCCACAGATAAAAGAATGCAATGAGCTTTAAAGTCCAGGAAAAGCAAGCTGCCCTAGTCAGATGACTTTTGTTCATGTAGGGGATTAGTGACGCTGACAGACTGCCTGCCCAGACTGCCTGCCGGTCACCGCTACACTTTATCTGTGAAACAGTCAAGTGGCACAGTCATTCTTGAGGACAATGTAGCAATCTCAAACTGGCTAAAAATGTATACACTCTGAGACCTAGTAACTCCGTTTTTATAAATTTACCTCCAAAATACTCATGGGTATGTGTGCAAAATGCACCCAAGAACAGCCAGTATGGCTCTGTTTAAGGAGCAAAAGCTCTACAAAGACCTTCATGGCCACAGCTCTGCAGCCACTAAGAGGACAGGTGACCCCATGAAGTGGGAAGAGGTGCGCACAGAGCTTCGTATCTACACAGCGCCTGTGACACACCATTGAAAAAGACATCCAAGGGGCAGGCAGTGGTCACTTCCAGAGCGGAGCCTGGGGCTGAGAGGCAGAGGGGCTGGCTGCTCGCCACATGCCCTTTGCTGCAGCTGGGCCTTCCTCACCACGTGCTTGTTGGTCTTTTATGGTTACTCTGAGGTCTGTGTGCGTGCACACAGACATTCCTTACTTTTGGGCACTTCACCTCACAAATACAATGGAAGGAGGACCTGTGTCCAGCAAGGCTACTGGTCATCCTCACAATATCTCAAACCCTTCCACCATGCTACTGCTCTGGACAGGAAGCTCCAGGGGCCAAGCCTGTGGGGATCTGCACAGCTAGCCCACTAGGCTACCAGAGCTCTAGAGATAAACCAGACTTAGTTGCTATGTCCCTGAATTCTGGTGATGCAATGGTAACATGCTGGGCTGCTAGCCAAACATTGGTGGTTCAAATCCACTAGCTCCTCTGCAGGAGTGAGCTGAGGCCGCCACCTTCCAGGAAGATGTACAGCCTTGGAAACGCGATAGAGAGTCGCTCTGAGTCAGAATCAACTTCACAGCGGTGGGTTTTCTTGGCTTAGCCTCCAAATTCAGTGACCACCTCTCAGCTTCACCTTCTGACAGCAATCCGGTGAGTAAATGTGACTAGTCGTCTGTGTGTTCAAAGTCTATGAACTTTCATATGATTAGCTTTCTAAGTATATTTTATATACATATATAATAAATAGTTATACATATATAGAATACAGACTATATGGAGAGCTCTGTAGGCTTGGCAATGATAATTTCTTAGTTCTTTCCTCGTTCTGATGATGTTGGCAATTTGAGGGTCACTCTCCACATATTCAGGGTGCTCTCTATTGGTAGCTGTGGTGGCCAAGTGGGAGGAAGCGGTGCCTAAAGCCATATGGTTTGAAACTACCAGCTGTTCTGAAAGAGAAGGAAGGGCAATCTCTTCCCATGCAATTTACTCCCTCTGAAAACCCACTAAGGGTCAGCTATGGGTTGGCTCCAATGTGACAGCACACAACAAAAACAATCACATGTACAATACACACATTCACTGTTGTGTACCACGGAATCAGAAGTGACTCAGAGCTGACACTCCGGTAGGTTTTCAGAAGCTGTAAATCACACAGGAGGAGAGTGTCCATCATTCTCCCACAAAACAGCTGGCGAATTCACACCACAAGAAGAACTTAGATAGTGCAGGCACCTCCAGTAGGTTTCCACTACACACTCAAAACCAGCAGCTGCCTTCATGTGAACTCCACCTGTTGTGAACTGTGCCCCTCAGGGTTTCCAACGGTTCAGAAACAAATCACAGTCATTGGTGTGCTTTAACCCACTGGGGCAGCTCCCGTCAGCCCATCTCCTCTGACCCTCTCCTTTACAAGCATGCCTCCAGGGATGGGTCACCTCTACAAACATGCCCAAACAACCTGGGACACAATCTAAACTATGCTCAGGTCAAAGGCGCATTCTGGCTGCACTTGTTAGATCTGTTTGCTCTTCTGGCAGTCGACAGTATAATTCAATATTCTTTGCCAATATCACAGGCCAAAGGCATCAGTTCTTTTTTATCTTAGTGTAACCGTCATTAAACAAATGCTGCTGTCATTATGTGTTTCTTTTGTGCTGCTACATTAAAATCTGCTTCTGGTTGCCCGGATGCCAGATCTCTAAGACCTGCCACTATGCTCAGAGTTGGGCTGGGTGACAGTGGACCCTCAGCAGTGTGTCTGCTGGCCAGAGCTCAGTTCTCCTCTGGGAGATTCCCAAAGAATATCTGCCAAGTGAAGACACTGCCTTCCAATGTCTACCACTTATGCAGGGGGCAGGGGGGGAGGGAGAACTTGTTTAGCTGCAGACCCCAAGATCAGTTATAACAGTCTAATAATATAGTCCAGAAAGAGAATATTCTCCTTCCTAGTTGAGTCAATAGTGATGGGCTCCTAAAAGCTGTGATTTCCCATCAAAAGTGCAGATGTGGGTTTCTTCCCATCCAAAGTGAGGAAGAGCGAAGAAAATAAAAAATGCATGGCAACGACTACTGCAGATAACAGGCCATACGAATCCTAACTTCTATGGCCTGAGAGCAGAAGCATTCAATGAAGCCCAGATCCCACCGCTGACCACTCTAAAAGGGAGTATAATAGGTCTCGGAAAGAATAAAGATAACCAGGGAAACAAAACTGAAAATAATTTTTAAAAACACAAACAAAACAACCCAAGCTTACTGGTCAGATAGAAGCCCAGAGACTATGGGCCTCAGTCATCCTTCAAGCCTGGAACTGAACTCACCCCACGACTCCACTTCCAGCCAAACCACAGGCAGGTCCATAAGGTGACCAGTAGCACCAGAGAGGCGCTCACTCCTTAGAGCAATCAAGCACAGGAAATCAGAAGGCAGCAGAAAAAGCTTTCAGAGAAAGCCCCTTAGACAGGAGGAACACATGTGTGAGAAAGCTGTTACATTGTGGGCACTGCAATCAGTGTCATGCAGGAAATCAGAAGGCAGCAGAAAAAGCTTTCAGAGAAAGCCCCTTAGACAGGAGGAACACATGTGTGAGAAAGCTGTTACATTGTGGGCACTGCAATCAGTGTCATGATACAAAATGTGTACAAATTATGCAATGGAAAATCAATTTGCTCTGTAAGCATTTACTCAAATCACAACAGAAACACACAAAGTAGTAGCCTGTTTCCTCTGTCCTAGTGTACACTGCGCATCTTCATGAACCATCTAGAGAAGAACTAGGATATAAGAAGATGGCCCCCACACATTTACTCTTTCCCCTCAGAGGCCTGGGCGTCAGCCAAATTCAGATCTGAGTACTTAGTAGATGTTTGTCCATCATCTCTCTCCTTTCCTGCTGCTACTGATTACCACTTCTGTCCCTTCTGCTATCTAAAGTACCTCCTGTTTAAATAAACTCACTTTTACGCACATTCTCAATTAAAAAAAGAAAAGCAAATAGTTACACCCAGTGCTCAAAGTCCAGTTGTTAAGAGTGTCCAGGTGGCCCAC